AAGTACACACTGCTAATAAATACTATACAAACATAGTGATCAAAAGAGTAAACAATCTGATTTTAAAGTAATTTATCTGCTTCAGAATTGTATTAACTTTTCCTAAAAATACATCTGGGTAAACATGTACAGTATTATTGAGGATTATTTCTTCTAATATTCAGATTAGCTTATGTAGGGCCTACACCAAGCTGTTATTGCCGAACTATGTTTTATATTTATTTGTTTACTATTATTACTGTGTATTTAAATTTATGGAAACTTCAAATTGTTATTTTTAAATTGATTTATAAGCCTACACATATGGGTTGTAAATTGTCTTATAATAATTAGGTTTTATTTTATTACATTGACTACAATATGTCACATAATTGGTAATTCACTTAATTAACACATTACCACTAGATTTTTTAATGGTTCATCCGGTGCATGTATTGTACATAGCGCCTATGATGAATAAAAATTCTTGATTTATTCCATGGATATTTATTATTGGTAGATTGGCATGCTATGAAAAACACCCCTATAACTTAAGATGATAAAAAACTGTTCTTAAAATCGGAAATAATATGAGTTCATTACTTCTAAAATTTATTCATGACCTTTCATAGATGAGCTTATTAAGATTAAAATTATATGAATTTGGATAGTGTGACAAAATAGTTAAAATACTCCCGGAAATAAAAATATGTTTGAGGCTCGAAAATACAAGCAAAACCACCCCTCGGGGTTTTATGGTTTATCAATAGTGTTATCTCTAAGTCTCTAACCCCAAGGGTGAGTGACCCCTGAATCCTAGACGACCAAGAATAGAATACAGAGAAAACAAACAAATAGTACAAACACAACTAACCCTGTCGAGCTCATCATCTTCGGTCCTTATCGTCCTTATCAGCTCTCCGAGTCCTTCATGCGATCACCTGTAGCTCCACTACCGATGTTGTTCTACTGAACGACTCATTGGAACGAGTCTCGCAAAAGATTAGAATCATTTTTCAAAGTGACTTGCTTTTTAAAGTGTACCCACGATCTAGACGGTCAGTCTTGTGATGTGTGAGAGTGAGGTGGTTCTATTAAAAAAATGTTTGGTGAAATGCCATGAAATAAATATATAAATGCAATACATCGTGCTTGTAATTTTTATTTTGTAAGCTGAATGTGCAATTAAACTTTTTGCGTGACATCTGTTTACTTTTTAGCTTTGTTAATGGAGTTTCTTTGTTCAGGACTGCTTAAATCCAAACATACAGTCATAAAATATGGTCTTCAGTTGATTTGTAAGAAGTACCGGTACGCAGAATTCTATGTTCGATGTTATTCAGATTCAAGACATTGTAGGAAAGAAATAGTTCGTGGAAACATTAAAACCCTACAATTGTAAAATAAATTGCATTCAAAACCATACAACACTATTTAAAACCTCAATTATTGGCCGAACACTTATTTGGTCTGAAATTAAGTTAGCCTCAACACCGTTTTGCTGTTTTCCGATAAAAACTTTGCACACCAAGCATAAACGATATCTTATGAGTCGCACAGTAAATTTTGCAAAAAAATCAACTCTCAGACAAAGAGAAATTGTTTGAAATGTGTAAAGATTCGCGAAACTTAAAAGCATGTAACACTTTAAAAAATCTGTATGTAAAATTTTGACTCTCAAGAACTAATCTCACAAAGATCAGTTCGCGAGGAGTTGGTCTGAGCGGGTGAAACATTGGAGCTGATATTCCCGTGGTGCGCAGACGCTGCCACACATCAGATGACAAACTCCACCCCCTACCACCCCTCTCTCATAATATTAAATCAATCGTTAATTATTTCCTCCCAGCGAGTCTGACGCGTGGCTCCACGTCCTCTCCATCCCCTATTTGAGGGGAAGGTTGTAAAGCTCAACAGGTAGTAGAAACTGCACTATCTTGGAGTATGATTTTAACGAACACTTCAATATGTATCCCTTTAGGTGAAGTGTTTTCATTTTGTATTCGTGCAATAGTTACAGTTGTTAGACTACTAGGATGGTAGGATGGCAAGTTAGGTTGATGTCCCTGCGCTGAAAAGTAATGTGAGAAAATTAATTTGTCACATAATGATACGCCAAAATACTTGATGGGTTTGGAGGTTTCATTGGGAGAACTGGAATAAGTGTCGTTAAAACGTTGTATTCTACCCTTCTTGATTCTACGTAGCGTTTACTCTTCATTTAGTTTGAACTTAAGGTTTGGAGGCTTTAATTGTTTAACCCACCAATAAGAAAGAACATATTTGTCAGAACTGTCATTTTATTGCAGATCGAGATTTCCTTCGATAACCACTGTTAAAATGGGAAAATAAAGAACTGGGTGGCAAAGGAATCCAAAAGTGTCTTTATCTAGTAAACAAAAGAATTGGTTAAATATCTGAGGCGTATAATAAGTAACACAATTCCATTTCAGTATCTAGTATGGAAGTACCGTAAAAGAACATTGGACTCAAGCGGTAAGCAGCAAAACAAGCTCGAAAAAAATGCAACTGTCTACATTTGGATTTTGTTAAATCCTTCACGCATTACAAATAAAGTAAAAATAAATGTACAGGGTACTAATCATTTGAAAAAAACTCTTCAAAAGCCAAGCCTAAATAATTTTATACCATTTCCAAATTAATTGTCTAAACCTAAAGTGACGTGCATGTGTGTTGTTGAAACTAAAGTCGTGTCTAGTTTCGTTTGTTCCAATACAAATTTCCTCTTAATCAGTGAGTCACTGTCAAAGTTCCTTTCACAAGTCAAACAGTTACTTAAGCCGACAATAGTCGACAGTTGTTCAAACCTACTTTGACTGACTCCATGAAATCCAGAATCTTTATAATACTAGGTTGTTCGTGTTCGCCACGTTAGTGCGGATTTTAAGAGTTCTTGGAGCTTAGCCTTTTTAACTAATAATAAAACAATTAAAAAAACGACAAAGAAAATGTCTAATCTCACAGTGCACAACTGAAGTTTAAAAAAACGGGAGTATGTTTTATCTATGGTATTGCCGAAGTCAATGGTACATAGTGTACATTGTACATTAAGATTCCCAACATCAATTCCACGCGTATATTTCCACTATACATCTCGTATTTTATAACTATTGACTTTTGGATATTGTAGTATCCATCACTTCTATTTAGATAGTTCTATGAGCCACTCACTGCGTTTGTTTCAGTTTAATTTGTATTTCCTCCCTCAGTTTAGTTACCGTACTGTGATAGTTGATGTGACTAAGATGCCATTGTTTCCAGTTCGTTTTCCTGTCAGTTTGGCTTGGCAAAATATTGCACAATCGACAGAAAAAAGTAATTTACATGAGCGCACTCTGTCCGTAACTTAATTCAAAACCTAGCTACAACCATAGATAAAACATATAACCACGGACTAACCAAAACGATGTTTAATCTACGTAACTACAACCCAAGGGAAGGAAATACATATTCAAACGTCATAACCAAATGTCTAGCATTTCTGCAATTTATATTCATCTAGTCAGCTGATGCGATAAAACATCAATATCAAAACCAATTCCTAAATTCAACATGGCTCTCAAGAAGGTGACTGAGACGAAGGGAACAATGACGGACATTTCGATGATGGAGAAGTCTGAACGGCCATCGCAACTGAAACCATCAGGAGCTCCAAGAAGAAGAGACTTCGCCTTCCTGGACAAGCAGCGTCAGGCGGATCTGGGCGATCAAGACACAAGGCTGGCCCGCAGGATCTGGCGGGAGTTCGTAGAGCCGATCGAAGAGGACTTCATCACCACTGTCTTCAACCAGTTCTTCACAAAACACCCGAACTTGACGGACTTGTTTTTGCGCCTGGAGAGCGTCGGCCTGCAGAGACTGTCTTTACCTAAGGACATGAACTTCAAGAACCACCACCTTGCCAGGATCATGGTGCGTCTGAAGGACATCATGGAAAACGTGGACCAACCACGGCAACTGACCAAGCTGATGACGCGGATGGGAGTAATGCACGCCAAGATGGGTTTGGACACCGAGGAGTCCGTCCTGGAAGACTTCCAGGAGGCTATGGTGTCCACGATCAAGGTGGCTATGCGTCGCAAGATGCACCTGGCGGAGGAAGTCGCCATCAGGAAGTGTCTTGTGCTCGCGTTCTCCATAATGCAGGAAGCAAGTTTCACATATTACGATTTGTTCGTCGCCTCCCCCGCTTCTCCCAAAGGCAAGGGAAAGAAAGTTTAACTTGCGACCCTTGGCTAGTGATTATACAATAAATATCATTAATTGTTTTACAAAATAATAAATTGTTGGACTGAAATTTTAAGACAGGTTTGTTATAGCCTGTCCTGCATTAAACTGTGTGTACTCTTTTCTCTAGGCTTCAAGACCAAGAAAATTTTAGAGCTTTGTAGCTGAGTTCTTGTAGAGCTCGCCAAAACAAACCAGGAAGGTCACAGGTTCGATCCTGTAAAAGGTTAGTAGGATTGTAATGGTTCGAAACTGGACCCAATGTCTAATTATTTTGCGATGGTTCTAGTTGAAAATGGTGTTCTAATCAGTAATCACAATCGGAAGCTTCACAGATCTCTAAAATCCGTTCTACACTCATCTTGCATTTATTTAGTAGGCCTACCCTGAAATTCGCACCCTAAGTAATTGTCTTGCTGTCTTAAAGAAATTATTGAACTTAATAAATTGCGTTTATTTCTGCAATGTGAAAACGCAAAAGCATAATATTTTTCTTAATACTGTACTTATTGATAACAGTTAACTCTTGTACTTGGAAGGTATAGCATAAAGCTTTATATGGTCTATAATAGTGTTCCACAGTTTTTTTTTAACCTCCGCCCTCTAGTTAGGGCACATTTTCGTGAGGGTAAAGAAAGCACACGTCGGACGTCGTGTTCCTGTCAATACATTGTCTGTGCGTGCATTAATGGGTAATCAGCTGATTTAATGTTGGCGTGACGTCACGGAGGGGAAGGGAGGGGTGATGAGATGACCTTCGGACCCCCCCACCACTCAATAGTAATCAGTTATGAGTTGTCAGTGGTTGTGAAAGTTACAGAATCTGTGTATGGAATTCGACTAACAGGTGAATTTTACACGATTATTGCAATTTTTAGCATTAAATACGACATTTTTACCTGTCAAATAAAGCAAATAAGTTCTAATATTTACTTTGCCAATTTCAGTGATTATTTTATTTGAGAATGCCACTATCTATCTTTAAATCACAAATTTTCTCCGAATTCAGAAGCACAAGCCATGTTTCATTGAGGTTGAGGTGGTAGGTATAAGATACTGATGAACAAAGATAATATTTAAAAGTAGTTTTGATCAGATGATTTTTAAAGAGCTAAGAAAAATATCTCACTTGAAACCGAGTTATATAAGCTAACTATCTTTTCAGTACCAACATTCTCAAAAACAAAAACAGGATGTAGGCCTAAGATCTTTACGCTGCAAGAATATTAAAATTAAACCGATTGTTAATATAGTACCTACTCCAATACTTATGTCCATTGTCCATCGGGTTCTGCGTTTTGACAAAAACTGCGTTTAGAAAAAATGAAATTAAGATCAAGAAATAGAAGACGGGAGTTGGTAAGGAGAGTTAGTTTGTAAACATACATAGGGGGGGGGGGGCTCAACATATAATGGTTATATTATACGCCAATCAGGGACCATTTAAATCGACTCAAAGATAGGGGTTTAAGTCACCCCAGTCCAGTCCCCATATATCAAGTTGAAAGCCAAACAACGAAATCAATTAGTGAGTAAAAGAGTACACCTAACGAACTATTTTGGATTAACATTGCTTGTGAGATATTTTCCTTAGACTCGTAATTCCCCAGTCTTGGTGTATTATGCTCTGTTTATAAAGTATTCTTGCAATAAATACTAAGAATGGCAAGATTATCACAAAACATATTTTTAAAATATTAAATACATTGTATAAATTAAATTGACGTGTGAAACGCATTTGGTAAACAAAAGTAATCTAAGAACATTAAAGTCAGGAGAAATCTCGTGTACTATCTACTCTTTAATCTATGGTGCAATTAATGATGCGGGTTTTCAAATATAAATGGTGGGGAAGTTTATAATCAGGTTGAGGTTCCCTTGTAGACAGCCCCTTCTTTGTTAATTTTGAAATACATCTCAGCAATACTGTTTAGTTTCAGATATATTATGCTCTTTTAGTGTTTATTGTTTCAAGAATATTCCGCATTTCTTTGTTTATTTTTCGTCGTGTTTCACTGGTGTCTTTTTGCACGGGAGAGTTGAGAGTTGTTTGTACGGGGATGATAAAAACCCATGTTTTGTCACTATTTAGTGCCGAAGCATATAATTTGATATCCCAATAGAATAGCAAATTGGAAACTGGGTATAAAATCAACCCTATGTAGGATCAATCCAGCAACTTGCGGTTAAAAGAATGATTTTATAACTAATCAGCTATAAAATTTTAACCTACACAACTAATATTGCTTGTGCATTTATTATAACGATATTGTCGTCGGACAAATTGAGAAACTCTCATACCATATACCAGTACCCTTTTAGCTGAGGCATTTCCCTCAAGGTGGCAGGGGTTTTATGGAAGGGATACATTTTATCAAAGAATCCGATTATATGTGATTTCCAAACTGCTATGTGCTAAAGTGCTGTGCAACCACGTCGATTTGCGGTGTGTTCCCCGTATGCTGTGCGACAGCTGGTGTATTTTGTGGGGATGCGGGAATACCCCCCGAATAACCCCCATTCCCACTACAATGAACATTCCCCAGGTGAAACGTGACGTCACAAAATCTGCCAACCAGGCTACGGCAGAAGTGTATTTTATTCATATGCCGACAATATATCGTTAACCACTAGGTGTAATTGTTTTGTTACCATGCCGGCGAAGGCGGCGATTGTTGGGCGCGACGGACGGAAAAGGAAGATATGACAAGGTGAAGGTCACAACTACAACAATTGCTTCGCTTTTAATGTCGTTGTCTTTAAAGTCCTCTCTAAATTCACAAATACTGCCTCCTATCAGATGAAATACACATTTCTTTATTCTGTGCTATGATCCAAGTGAACTTCTTGTGTAATCATCAAGTTGGCGTTGACAATCACAAGAGTAACACTAGTAACACACTTTTACAAACTTCGTTCAACAACATTTTCAAATCTAAAATAAACATTCTAATTTAAAACTACATAACTCAATATATTTAGTTGCATCATTGATTATTGTGGTTGTATATAGTGTTTCCCACTCTCATAGGTCGTAAATAGCATTGAATGTTAACTTTTAGAAATTGATATATTTTATACCAAATGCCTATGTCAATGTTCCTCAGACGTACAAGATGGCCGATTTTAATCTGCTCACAGATCTTTTGCACTGTAAATGAGACATATGAGTTGCTGTAAGCAAAGCCTATACTCTTGAGGCGATTCAGTAAAAACCGGTTTCTGAGATGTGTAATTAGCTTTCCTTGACGAATGTTACTATTCTTGACAATCACAAACATGCTACTGGCAACTGTAATGGGTTTAAATAATAGTTAATCAAATGCATGCTATAATGAAATACGATTTGTCCTCTATTTATAATTGCACTTCAAAAGATAATTTTGATTTGTCAATAATTTTTTGTATCTTGGTAAATATACAAACCTACCTATTGTCTTTATGGACATTAGTATAGAACTAGCTGTGTACCCGTTCTACAAAGTTTTTAATCTCACTTGGTTTTGGATTTTCTTACAAAACGTGATTGGAAATGGTTGCAGTATTTGTAAACAACATTTAATGTAAACATATCCATTGACAGTTAGAAAAAATAATCCTTATTCAAACATTTGTTCGTTACTCCATAGATGTCGCGTATTCTCCAAACAGATGAGTATTTCATGACGTATGTGGTAAACATGAAGAGAAAACTTGAAAAAATCGCACAAAATTGGGGTTTTGAACGTCCGTTATTTTATTTCAAAAGTGGTTAGGTCATATTTTATTGGCTAAAGACACTCTCGCCAATCCAGTGAATACAAAAATACTATTTGAATCCCGATCAATGCTCACGTTTTTCAGGAGAAGGCCGCGTAAAATGCCTTCTCTGGGCCGTGACAGACAGACAGAAATATGATAAGACTTGTTTCGGCTTCTTTAATAAAACGTAAAATAACCAAAAATATATAATTTTGAGCAATGTACAGACTACAGACAAAACTCTAATTTTATTTTTATAGAAAATAGTTTGACATTTGTAACTTCTATGTGTTGGGACGAAAACCAACCTTAACTTTGATTGTGTAACCCATATGTATGGTTAAAGGAATGCCTCCTACTTGAATTGATTCTAATGTTTAGACTTCAGCCTATTAAACTTTAATCTACAAAATTTCTTAAAGTGGTTTAATTTGGTGGTCTTATTATCTTAATATTTTATGGTATGCATTATGTATTTTGTGGTATATATAACGGCGATGTTGTTGGTAGTTTGTTATGATATTATTAGTTTGCTCCTTGGCCAAGACCTATGAGGATTTTTGTTTTCCATGTCTTTCTCTATTAGTGTATTGTATTGGCCTCATGCCAATGCTTGAGCTGAGTTTTATGGCAATAAGGATTATTTTATTTGATGTTTTCGAGTGGGGGGACTCAGAGTCTTAAGTTCTTCTTAAGCTTCTTAAGTGTTTTTTAATTTTCAGAAGTGCAGAAGTATTATAATAGTTATCATTATTAACAACAGTTGCATTGTTATCTTTTTGGACACTTTCTTTTTCACAACAACCGTGTTTTGGTTAAGTTGGCTCTCCTACAATTTAATCAACGAACCCCATTGCTTGAGAATGCTTCATTAGATTACAATGAGGGGAGAAACTGATAACATCATTTGACCGAGGGGAGATAACAAGACTGATAAGGCAAGGTCACGATAGTAAACAACCGCTTGGCGCCTTCGGTAATCGAATGCTGCTATCGAGTGCTGCGATGCGATTACAGTATTTGGGTATCGAAATCGAACGCGAACCAAAACTATTGCACCATTTATAGGTAGTTCACTTTTAGGTAGGAAAGACGTTTTATGTAATTCTGAGGCGTTACAAGCTTAATAATAGAGAATGTTAGTTAACATTGGAGAGAGGTAGAAAATATTTTTTACCTACGACCGTTTTTAGCGAATTTCCCTATAGGGAAGTAGCTATTACCGTAGGTGGCACGGTAAGACCTAGACCTGGGACCGATTTACTTTTTCATTTTGATGTCCCCAGATGCCAAAAACACCATTCGTTCAAATTTGTATATATATATATACAAAAAATTCTAACAAGGGGTGAAATTCTTTTCAAGGTTGTTTGTTAGGGTTTTGGAGATGGTAATAAGTATATATATATATATATATATATATATATATATATATATATATATACGTCCGTGAACGCGATAACTTGAGTAATTTTGGTCCGATTTTGATGAAATTTGGTTTAAAGGTGTAGAGCGGGATAAACTTGAATGAGTTCGCGAACCAGCATGATCGGACCATGGGAACGGGGCTTTACGGGGGGTTTTATGGGGTAAAAATTGGTTTTTCTCATTTTTGACCCTCAAAACACAAAATTTCCCAATTTCTCTTTTGACCTTTTTAAAGAGCTTAAAAAAACAAATAATTTAGTATGTTAAAGTATTTTTGTTCGGTTATTAGTAACGGAGAAAATTTAAAAAATTGTAAATTTAAAATTCCCATGTTATTCTTATGGAGAATATTGTCAAATGTTTAGTTTGCTTGTTTATGGATATATTTTGATCAAACTTGGCAAATTTATTTATTTAGTACTAAGCTATCAATATTTTACTAAAAAAAACATACTTTATTACTTTCCTTGTAGCAGCAAACCTAGGTACTCGTTAAACCTAATGTTATTAAAATATATTTAACTGAAATTCAATTCAGACAAATGGAAATTCGCTTAGTCGGCAGGTTTGCTGCGGCGGGGGTATTTAAAGTAGGCCTAGCCGTTTCAGTACAGTTCTTAGAATTGAAAAGTATCTCATAACAGCATTGTTTACATTCATAACAGCATAGTTTTACTCATAACAACACGGGTAACGGACCAATGAGGTTCAAGGATTGAGAGAGGAGAAGCAAAATTGTAATGATTCGAAATTCAACTACTGTAATCAGCTGTTCAGACCAATTTAATTGTTGATTGGCGCAATTAGTATTTGATACAATGTTCGTTGCATCAATGTCAGTGGCAATTAGAGGTTATAAACAAAAACATAACCTCTCTTAGAAGTTATGAGTAGTGATTTGTAGTAATTAAAACACCGTCGTAGGTAAAGTAGTGTACGCAACTCGCGTAAATAGTAGTGTTAACGACACTCGTAGAAGTTTTTAAGGCACTCGCCAAGGCTCGTACCATAAATTTTCTACTCGTGTCGTTAACACTATCTTTACGCAATCGTTGCTTAAACTACTATTTAATAAGCATCAGAATTTTAGAAAAAGAATCGGTTAAGAGTATAAACGATCAAGCCTGAACTAGAGCGAGTACCAAAGTGACAGATAAAAATACATCTAATAACAGTAATTACATATATTTACACTCTTATACTGTTTTAAAAGAAATGGGGAAATATATATGAAAGATGGTAATGGAGATTGCAATTATGTTTGTTTTAGAACATTTTTTTATATTTTTACCTTTAATGGTGCTTTTGTCATAAAAACCTGTAAAGTAACAGTTAAGTTTGGATTTGCACAAAAACAGCTCGGTTAAAAAAAATTGTTCTAACAATTTTGATTAAAATTTAGTACTTATGGTATAGTATTTTTTAAATTTTAAACAAAACGGTACAACCACCATCACAGTAAAAAGTTATTGCAGCTTATGTAATTTTCCATAAAAACCCATTTAAAATAATAAATTGAATTGAAAAATACCCCGCTTGATCTACAAAAGATTTAAAAATTCCTACAACAGCGTGTTTTATACTCCTGCAGTGCCAACAGTCATTCTACAGGGTGTCACAAAAAAGTGTGATGGGCTATACAGGACCTAATTCTACATGCAAAAATAAGTCAAAAATGAAAAATAAAATGTTTTGGATTTCGGCTTAGTTTAGCCGTAATCCGCCATTTTGTTTTTTGGGGAAAATATTTATTATTTCAAAATCCCTTTGAGATATTTTTACGAAACTTGGCAAAATTGTTTACACTATAGTAAGTAACATTTATAAAAAAAATTATTATTTTAACTTTCCAAATTTCAAAATGGCTGCCGTTTGAATTTTTTAATGCCAAATTTCATGAAAACCGGTACCTAAATCAAAATTTTGTAAGACACAAAAGTTTTAGTATTTATTATGACAAATCCAACAAAACAAAAATGAATAAAATCGATTCATAAATAAAGAAGCTGTGTTTATTTTAGTAATTTAGACTGAAATTATTAATATTAAAATGTATTAAATGTAATGTAATAATTTATGTAACGTATTAAGTAATTTCAGTCTAAATTACTAAAATCAACACAGCTTCTTTATTTATGAACCGATTTTATTCATTTTTGTTTTGTTGGATTTGTCATAATAAATACTAAAACTTTTGTGTCTTACAAAATTTTGATTTAGGTACCGGTTTTCATGAAATGTGGCATTAAAAAATTCAAACGGCCGCCATTTTGAAATTTGGAAAGTTAAAATAATAATTTTTTTTATAAATGTTACTTACTATAGTGTAAACAATTTTGCCAAGTTTCGTAAAAATATCTCAAAGGGATTTTGAAATAATAAATATTTTCCCCAAAAAACAAAATGCCGGATTACGGCTAAACTAAGCCGAAATCCAAAAAATTTTATTCTTCATTTTTGACTTATTTTTGCATGTAGAATTAGGTCCTGTATAGCCCATCACACTTTTTTGTGACACCCTGTATATATACTGTATAAAATCCAATGTATGTTTGTTTGTCCTTTATGGACTCCGAAACCGCTCAACAGATTATAATGAAACTTTCAGGCATTATTAAGCATTATTCAAGGAAGGTTTTAGTGAAGTTTGGTGCAGATCCGTCAAAAGGGCTCCGCCCCAGTGGCTCTGGAGTTTCCCATGTTAACCTTATGAGTACTCATATTTAAATGGAATTAAAGAATCTTAACAGCTGGTTCAACTAAACAATTTGATTCTGTGATGTTAAATATCATTAAAAAGTTAATAGGTTTACCAACAGGGTGCAGCACTATTATTTTTTTAAATTTATGACAACAGCTAATTTGCAATCGAAAGGTGAGTGAGTGTAGCGAACGAATTTCAACCTGAAGGCGAGCTAGCGTAGCGAACGAGCTAACCTGAAGGCAAGTGAGCGCAGTGATTGAGCTCCATGCTAAAGGTGAGTGAACGTAGCGAACGAACTTCAACCAGGACGTGATTGAGCCATGCGAACGAGCTCACCTTGAAAATGAACGAGCATTTGACATAAAACCACATTAGGACAGGACGACGTCTGTCGGGCCAGCTGGTTTTGAATAAAAGTTAGCATGTTGTGGTCCTTTTCAATCAAAACAAAATGGCTTAACCCCCAAAGCTGTAAAAGCTATAGTTCGAAAGTTATTGTAACTTTTTTTTATAAAATATCATAGTTCTAACCGCCCATGATAAGGGTTGTTGACCAGCTAATGGGAGGAAGTATGTGTCAGATTGTTATGATACCGTTTATTTAAGTATAGACCTCTTGGTTTTAAGAAATGTTATGATGTTCCCAGAGAAGATGAGTCCCAACGGAGGGTTATTGGTGGACTCTGACACGGGGGAGGTTGTGACTCCCTTGGTCCAGACGAGTCAACCTCTGCGGAGCTTCGGCGACGATGAGACTGGGGAACAGACACAAGTACGACTCGTCTATCAGAGGTCCAAGTTTAAGGTATTCTATGTTTGCAATAACTGCTTGACACATTCACTAACAGGTGAAACATGACCTCTTGTACAGAGGAGTGTGGCGAATGGTAGACAATGTTATAGAACTAATAAGGCGTGAACTGACCATGTCGGTATTTGGACGAATCACATAAGAGCATGTATTTTAGTTAAAAGACCGAACCGCCCATTCACTGGTTATACCCAAAGTTGTGATCCAGTAAATTTTGACCTTAAAATGAGTACAGAATTGTAACATGGTTGGATTACACATTGTAATACATTTAAGTTTCCATCAATAATATTATAAAAGAACCATGACACCAATCATGCTTTTGCGAGACCTTTAGTAGAAAGCTTGAAGATCAACTGGTTGGAACATTAGATTTTATGTGTGATAATAAAAACAAGAGCGTGGATTGGCACTATCTTTTTCAACCAGTGACAGGGTCGATTCCAATCAGGCCCCAAAGCTAATTTAATACCCTTTATCATAGATTAGGTTATAAACAAGAAGCTTGTTATGATGTTATACGAAACGGTCATTCACTGGTGCACCCACCCTATGGTAATTTTAGATTTCCAAAAATAGTTTTATAGACGATTCAAACTCCACCTATTCTGTCCAAACTCTGCATATGTTTTATACTACTGAATACTGACTGACTACTGAGGTTTTAACCATGATCTTGACTAGATAATTGTGCTTTATAGTCCGAACCAGATTGGTAATAGTCTCCGATTTGTGGGGAACTCTAAAAATTGAACCAAGAGTGTGGGGCCTTGGATGGTGTGTCCTAGGATTGTTTTAGTGTTTTTGTATTTGCAGTCAGCACTCAGTCGAGAGTATGAGTAATATTTGTTAACGTTGTTTGGTAATGAGTAAACTTTTTCTGTTGAAATAAAGGATTTTCAATTCATAATCAGATGATTTTGTCCGCAGGTGCCAAGGTCAGCTCTCAAGTCGCCAGTGTTTGACACAGCTGTTCTAGACTCCCCGAAGAAAGGGTCTGAATATGTCTGTGACTTGTCATTGTTAGTGCTGCCTATGCTAGTGGTGCTGCCAGGCTGGGCAACTGTCGTCTACATAATGGCGGAGGTGAGTCACAGTGCAGCCAACTTAAAAGTTTGTGGTCAGAAAATTAGAGGAAAAAGCAATAAATTATTGTAAAGTTGTTGAGCTGTGGACCTTAGTTGCATCATAACTAACTGACAGAGTCAAAAGTTGAGGTGATTTCAAATCCATGAATCGTATTGAAGTTGAATTTAGGTTTTGAATTTTGTTGAATTCATGTGTATTAGTTGGATATTGCAGCAATTTGGTTGTCACTTTTTTGTTTGCCAAATGTGCCCCCAGTTTATCCTACATAACACACATACTGATGAATTTTACCTGGAAGTATAGTTTACACTTGTCAAGGGTTACCATGTGAATAATGGTCGGAGGCTGATCTTCTAGTTAATCATGCCAACACAAGATTATTAGAATGTCCTAGCCCTAGTCATCGTTTTATGGTTGAATTTTTGTTGTGCTACGGACATGAAGGAAACTTAGAGGTATAGTGAAGGATCAGAAGGGGTCAAACTCCTGCTTCATTTCAGTTCTAGTACTGATAATCATATAAATTAAGCACTGATCATAATTTTCACAACTATATATGTTAGTGTCTTAAAAACATCATTTGCGTTAAGCAATATATTTGAGGCTGCATGAAAATACATTTAATATATGTACCAGCTATTATTTCTACAGAATAATGTAAAATGTGCCATAGACCAGAGTTTCCAGATCACTAAGCATGTGTTTGTGCAGGTCCTCTACCACAGCTGGATGCATGCTCAGCGCGGTCGCTCTTTGATGGTCAAGACCCCAATGAGGATCATGTTCAACGCAATGTGTGCCGAGTGTGTGGCCGAGAAACAGATGGAGAAAGTAGGTAAACTCCAGGACGAACGCACTCTACGCATCAACAGCAGGAGAATCCTCAGTTACAACTGTTCGCAATTCGGTTGCTCTTAGACTCTTCAAAGTTTTAGTTTGGAAGTCTGTTCAAAAACCATGTATGGTCTGATCATTTGACATTTTGCACAAAACTAGGGTTAGAAAAAGTTAAGAAAAAGACACATTAAAACATCAAATTTGTTGTATAATAGGAAATAGGAATTGACAAATAAGATTTAAGAATTCGTAGATAACTTCTGTGCAAGTTGATAATGAAAAAATAATTTGTTTACAGTATTTTTGTTTAATTGATATTCTACCTTAAATACAGTAGATCTACTACATTTACTGAAAGCCAATTGGGTAAATTCCTCGTTAAAACAAAAGGTTGTTTGAGTTGTAGATACAATTTTACAAGATATTGGGATAGTGTTTCGATGTGAAACATTGAATGTAAAAAAGAAATAAATAATAATAATAGGCCTAATAATTTTAGGGTATGTGGAAAATCCATTGTAGACACATTTCAAAAAAAGTTGTTCTCGAACTTATGAGTGCTATTACTAAACTTTATGAGGAATCAGGACATTGTTAAGAAGGGGATAGTGGTTATGAAGTTATAAATCAAATCCAAGAATGGATCACATAATTTATTATTTCAGGTTAATGTCACATCTAGTTTATATGGCCCTTCTATGTGATTATGGACAAGCAAACATTCCATAATACTTTTCATGATTGTCAACATCACAAATCTTTTTCTACTCGTAATGTTTTTATGGTGGTGAAATTTACATATGTTACTGTTTACATGTGTGTTACTGTTTACATATGTTACTGTTAATTTACATGTTATTTTTTTATTTAGGAATCAATGTTGAAGAGAAACCAATATAATTTCGTAAAACTTTAGAGTTATTAACAAATTTATGCTTATTTTATATACCAACATTGAGGATATTTTTAAATTTTACACAGGGTTAGAATCCCGAAATTAAAATAAGACATTTTGTGATTAATTTTTTATTAAGACTATAGGTTGTTACTTGTTAGTTTATAAATAAATAATGATTTGAACTGTGGCTATAAATGTTACTTAAATAAATTAATCAAAAACTAATCAAAATTTTTTGAAAATTACACCTTGTATCCTTTCTTTTAGTTTAAACATTAAATAGAATCTTCATTTAATTTACATTTCTTTTTAATTTTTCCAATAGTTTTGACTTTTGAGATTATAGGAATAACATTTTTACTGGCGTTTGTTTTTATACAAATAAACATTAGAAAACAAACCATAATATACCACGGCCTACTACAAATTGTTGCAAAAAATTGAAAAAGAATCAGTTAAATAGTAATGGGTCGTAAAAACTTTGTTAAAAAACATCAGTCTTCAAACGTATATTGTCAAAAATCATATAAAATCTTATATACAAGTCTTGTACTGGAATCATTAAACTAAAATAAATAAATTCTAACATCCTAGCAGACTAAAATCACACAAAGCTCTAGGTCTCTCACTACCTCATCTTGATAAGTTCGCGTGTGGCAAGGCGTGCGATAAGTTTAAAGTCTTCGTGTAGATGAGCACGCCAATATCGACACCGACCCCATTGCTGAGCAGGGAAGTTAGGACTGGCGATGCCGTGGAAGATGCGTGCCACCGCGCGTCCGGTGAACGTTACGTCAATGTAGCTGTTGATGAGATTACGCACGTCCGCAACAATCTGGTCCTCGTTGGATAAACTCACCTGTGAAACACCCATAAAATTTAGCCAAGATATTATTAACTCTTTTGACTGTTTGCCAGCTTATATTAAGGATAGTCTTTTTAATGTCACAAACAAATAATACAACAACGTTCAGAAAGTAAATAATGTTTTGGAATAAAATAACAAGCTGTACAAGAATAAAAATGTACTGTATGAATTTGAAAGAGCAACTAAAATACTACTTTTTGACAAAGTCAAATGGAGGCATTTATCATAGCAGAGGACTGGATTTGAAATTACTTTGACGTAGAATTCTGTTGCCTGCGATCTCAGCCACTCAGTGAAAAGCAATTGGAGCAACTCGTCGTAATTTAAACACTATGCTGCAAAAATAAGTCTTCACTTGAGAAACAAATGCAACACTTTGGGCAGTGCCTGGACTGTGGGTGGTTAAGTGGAATCTTCCATTTACGTATGAAAGAAATCTTGTGTACAATTTTATGTGAAAAGTCGGGCATTGTCATGCGAAATCAAAATTTTGGACATCAATCAAGGTTTGGCCATTTTTAAACTTATGCACAAATTTTGGACAGAACTTTAACTTTTTACAAGGTATGCAAACACTTCACACACTTTAGGATAAATCTATTTAGGTTTTTATTAAAGTTTATGGCCAACAAAAACCGTGTTACAGACGGTACCTCACAACTAGTGGAATTTTCAATTGCAGTGCACTTTTTAAACTTTAATATTGTGATAACGGGCGGCCCAACAAAAGCTCCACTGTGACTCCTGGACAGTTATTGAGGAGGCAAAAACGTTTGTGTTAGAAAGTGTGTGACCAGCAGCAGACAAAAAAATTGTTTTCTTTCTGGCCCTATGTTTCCAATGAGAGAAATTTTTTCTTTTGGTATGCTGATTAATAATTTTCATACAATATTTTTCAGCAGTTAAACACAAATTAGATGAACTAATAGTTTGAAATATTTTTGTATAGTTCAAAAAAATTACTTAATAGCACAGTTAAGTTTTAGCTACAATATATAAGTATACTTCATACCTCTGGAAGCTGAAAGTTGTCTAAAAATGAGTCACTTGTAAAATATTGCCGAATGTTGGATTTGAGTTCCTCACAGCGTTTGTCGTCTACTTTGTCCATACATTCATCGACAGTTTGATGAGATACTCTGTGTAGACAAATCAATCATTAATGGAATGTAAAAAAACCATGTGGATACAAAAATTAATGTCTTTTAAATATGTTTTTTTGTATGGATGGGTAAAATCACAAAAATTGTGATAAATTTTCAATTGTAAATTGTACAGCAATGGGAGTTGTACCATTTATTTAATCAAAAGGACATTAATCAAAAATGTTTCAGCCATTTTTGTGTAAATCATATTTTTGTTATTTTATTGAAAAATCTTGATTAAAAATAATATGAAAACAAAAACACGTGAAGATACCATTGATTAGCACCCACATACAAAATTTCATCAAAATTTGACCATATGTGTGATCTGTAGTTTTGTACACACCCATCACTTCGTAAACCACTTTTTGGATACAGGGGGACCCAAAAATAATATTTCCACACTAAACTCAAACTAGAACCTTTGACAAAAACAATACTTTTTCCACATACTACTATGTAAAGGAAGCGAGAGTAAATGGCAACAGCTGGTCAATAACAATAGGCTGTCAACTTCAATATCGAACTGGTTAGGTTTAACCATTGACTATTGGATACTGAAGTAGACATCCCATCTATATGGACCAGCTGTTGCAATTTTTTTACTAAAAAAGAACATAGTTGTGGGAGCCAGTCACAGAATGTGCTAGTGTCTAAAATTCTATTTTATACCTTGTTTTTTGTTGCTGACCAGGTTGATGGGTCATAACAGTTGCTATAGCTCACCATAAGTCATTCACCATGTTTTACTTGGTAAAAAAGTTTGTGTACTCAAGTGAATTTAGTAATTTAGATCAGCGCAATCTGTAGGTGGCTCACGTCAACTACAACAATAACCTATGTTTGGAAATAATTTTTTTTTACTTAAGTAGGATACTATTTACTGTACTAGAAGTTACTTACTGTGATAGTGTGGTGAAGGTTGCTTGCAGCTGACGTAGAGCTTGAGTCTCCTGTGTGTCCACGCGGTCAGTGAGACTACCTAGCGTCGCGTCCAGTTGATCACCTGTCAGGTTACCCACCGCGATAACACGGAAACCCAAATCGAACAACTCCACTGTCAAGCCTGACTTGCGGGGCTGGCCATCCACTGGAAATTACGATTCAAAATTAGAGACATGCCACCAAGATCTTAGGACTGCAAAAGTTCAGGTTGAAGTTTGGCAATCAGTTGATGGTAAGGCTGGATTGTATTAAATGTTCAGGACGGGATATTTTCCCATTGCGACAAGGAAAACTTATATTTCTTTTTAAAATATCTATTCAAAATTCCTGCAAATAGCAATCATAAAAAAATCCAATAATTATTTCACTTTTCTATAAAACCCAAGAATTTGGGTAAAACTACATTGGTAACAAAAACCGACAACCAAAATATATACATTTGTAAAAATCACATACAGGAAGAAAATCAGACCTTTTAGACCCATGTTTATTTGATTTTCTTTTATTGTTTTGACTTGAGGAACAAATATACAAAAACGTTCCAGGGAGTTTGCAAACACCCTGTAAACAAATCCTGGTTGAAGATCAGGGAATAATGTTTACGCCACACTACATTATTTTGACGAACTTCCCACGCAAGGATTTAGTCCAGAAAACAGCTGTTTGCCGCCAGCTTATTCAAATGGGGTTTCATTGCGTACTACTGTACTGCAATGAGTTTTACCAGACACCAATCAGCTGATTATACTATATTTAGGTGAAAATGAGTGGTTATAAACAAAAACATAACCCCTAAGAGAGGTTATGACTAGTGATTTTTAGTCCTTTAGTTGGTGGAAATATATAAGGATTTGTACGGATTTAGTAGTATGGCGTAAACTATCGTACGTAACTCGTCCAAAATGTGTGTACCGGACTCGTATGGTAATCCCGACCACACTCGTCCCGAAAACACTTATTTTCAGGACTAGTAACGTAATATACTATTTCGGAAATAAGATTTTCTAAAGTTTCAGTACCTGTTCATTTCTAACTGTAGCAATGCAAATGACACGTACACACAAATAAAATAGCTCACACATAAAATAACAAATACAACCATTTAATTTAATTACTCTAAGAAAACAGACTCACAAACACACCCACAGCTAATTGTTAACAAAGTTTTGTCAAGAACACAGTAAAACTTCATTGTATGACAGTTTGGTTGGTAACGTTCTTTAAAACAGTCCATAATTGAATAGAAAATCTATTTTATTACATGGCCTAGTTTGATGTCACTCAAATAAAAAAATATCTGACCAACCTTTTGTCCATTCCAAAGCCTTGAGCTGTTGTTTGACTACTCCGCTGTCCCATTGGATGACGGACGCAACAGGGAAAATTGGGAATTCCAGCTTGGTCATCTTGTCCATACTGACTCCCTTCTGCGCCTCCATAGCTA